TTTTTTTTAAGCTTGTAAGATAAGCATGACAATACCTATCTTAAAGGACAGTTCCATGAAATAATGTAAGTGCAGCACCTAAAACTATGTTTGGTATACAATAAACACACAAGGAAAGCAGCTATTATTTTGAGGCACAGAGGTGTTGCATAAATTACAAAAGGTTAAGGTCAAAGCCAGATGTCCTGACTCCCAGATCAGTGTCTGACCAAGCTCCTCTGTGCCATCTGGAGTTCCCAATGCCATCTACTCCAGTGCAATGGCCTGCCTAACTCCCAGCACTCACCTACCTTAAAGAGGTGTGGGTGCTTGATGTAGATTCTCCCTCTGGTGCCCCCCATCCCCAGGGCCCTGTAAAGTAACAGACGAGAGGTAAGCATTCCAGCACTTGCAGTCCTAGTGGCGGACCCGAGCTTCCCCCTCCCTCAGCGCCAAAGCTCTTAGACTTACTTGTTGGCTCGAGATCCCAACACAAAGGTGGTAGATTCATTCAGCCGAGCTGGGTCCCACTACGCAAAACAGAGAGGCTGGTGAGGGCGTGGTTTACCTGGTGGGCATGACGGAAACACCCCTCCCCTGGCTGTCTACCACCACCACCCTTGTCCATTATCCAACACACAGCTGACTCAAGAAACCGGGTACTTACCACATGCTAGGCCCTGTGCTAGACACTGGGGATGAAGAGATGGGTAAGACAGTTTCTGTCCTCTAGGGGGCCAGATATATGTACAGAAAATTATACCATCGTGAGATGGGCAGTGATACAGGTGAGTGCAGGGTGTGAGGGGTACCATGGGCGGTGGGTAACAAGAAGGTTTCCCTGAAGAGGTCATTGCCAAGTTGATCCTGCAAAGGTTAGCGGGAGTTAGGGCAGACGGGGAGAAGGAGGGGCAGCACGAACAAGGCAGGTGACAGCTGACTTGGCATGCTGGAGAGACTATAAGCAATTCTGCGTTGCTAAGAGAGAGTGCAAATTAGGGAGTGGTAATTAATGAGGCTGGACAGAGACGCAGAGACGGGGCGGAGCCCCAGTACACCTGGTTTAGGGGTTTGCATTTTATTTATTCTGTGGGTAACGAGGAGTCACGGAGGGCCTCTAAGCAGGGAGAGCCTTGCTTTAAAGATGGCTCTCTCCTGCCAAGTGGCTAATGGACTTAANCATATTCTGGGTTTGAAGCATCCATGGGGCATTCAGGTAGAACCATGTAATTGATAGTGCTAGAAAAGAATTTTAAGTAATAACAATGGTGACATTATTCAACAAGTAATAAAAACACTTGCTATTTTTCGAGCACAGTTCTGAGCACATTACACTTAAGTCATTTCATCCTCACAACGGCTTCACAAAAGAGGTATTGAAATTACCCCCAAAGAGGGAAATAAGTTCTTGGGGGTTCAGAATTGGGAAAATTTAGATACCTGTGTGTGCTAGAGAGAGCCAGGGAGGTAGCAATGCAGTAAAGGACTGCCCATGAATCTTTTTCCCTGTTAATGTTTTATCTTCGTGTCCCTCTCACCTTCATGTACTTGTTGAAGACCGTCTGGATCTCCTCATTGATGCTCGGCTGCAGGACAGCTCGGAGGAGGTCCATGGAGATGGCAGGATCTGTGAAACTGCGTTCAGGAGGGAGACACAGTCAGGGGACATGGCCCAAATATATCCTTTCCTAGCCTACCCAGTCAATTATTGACAAAGGGTCCTTTAATGACAATAATATATAGCCTTTTTTTTTTAATAGAAAACTAGCTATGTGCCCAAGCTCTGTAAAACCAGAGATGAATGACTTTATTTCATTCTCATAATAACTCTGTGAAATGGGTATTACTTTTAACATGTTTTGTGAAGTATAACACTTATACAAATTCTATAACAAATAGTTTTGGTGAACATCCATTTAATCACTACCCAGTTCAAGAAATCTAATCAGCATCTCAAAGGCCCATCTTGCGATCTCTCTCCCTTTCTTTTTATTATTTCATGATAACTATAAATTATTATTTTATTATTTATTATTACCCTGTTACCTCAGGATAATAGTACCCTGTGGATACTATTAGTCACACTTTTTTCTTTTTCTTTTTGTTTTTTTTAAAAAGATTTTATTGGGGAATTGGGGAAGGGGAACATGGTGTTTTTCCAGGACCCATCAGCTCCAAGTCAAGCTGTTGTCCTTCAATCTTAGTTGTGGAGGGCGCAAGCTCAGCTCTAAGGGAGGGTGCATAGTCCACCATCCCATGCAGGTGCTCAGCTCAAGGTGCCACATTCAGTCTAAGTTGAGGGGGGNGTCACATGTCCATTTACTCATCCCTTTATCCACCCATCAATCTATTTTATAAGCTACATTAAAACATTGTTTTTTTAAAAAGGGGCATGCATTCAGCAATCACAGAAATAAATCAATAAAGATTAACAGTGTCTTGGATAAGATCAGCCATATTTAGAAGTTATTATCATAAACATTTTTAAGAAAATGGGTAGCTGAGATTTGGGAACATTGTCAAAGGGATCAAAGTTAATCAAGAGTATGAAGTTATTAAAATTGTGATGTAACCAATTCATTTGTACCTTGTCTGAAAACAAGAGCAATAAGGAGGTATCTTCACAAACTATAAAGAGGGGAGCCCAGAGCCACAAATTGTATCTATCCAGCATTTGTCCAGGGGAGAAGGTTCCTGAATCATGGTGTCCACTACTGGGACAAGTAACAAGAGAAAGGCTTTGGAGGCAGGCAATCCTGGATTGACCCCTGGCATAGCCTTTTCCTAGTGGCTTAACTTCTTTATTTCTGCATGTGCAAAGATGTGGAGGTATGAGAATACATGGTGCATTCTGGGACATAGAGAATTAGGGATAGTAATAGCAGGGTATAAAGGGGTATGTGGCTAGGGTCTGTGAGCAATATATGCCATGTTAAGGAATTTGGATTTTACTCAGAAGACAATGGAAAGTCATTGAGGGATTTTAAACAGGAGAATGACACCACTGGATTTGCATTTTAGGGATCACTGACAGCTGTATGGAAGGTGAGTTGAAAGAGGGAAAGAATAGAGGCAATTAGGGATTATAATGGATCCTGGGTGAGAAATAATGAAATACNTTACGGGTAGTGAGAACAGCAGGTACAAAGGGCCTGAGTTGGTGAAGCAGAAAGGAGTCCAGTGTGGCTGGAATATAGTCAATAGGGGAGGTGGGATGAGATGAAGTTAAATAAAGAGGCAGGAGCCAGTCCACACAGGGCTCTGTGGGTCATGGTAAGGCATCAATCAGGGTTTTCTTCTGCCTGCAAAGGGAAGTCACAGAAGGGTGTTAAAGAGGAGAGTGAGACAATCTGATTCATCTTTAAAATGATGGGTCTAGCGTCTATGAGAATGGATTGCGAGAAGGCAAGCGAACAAGCAGCTCAGGGCTGCGATATGCATTTGGGAATCATCAGCAGTTACATTTTTAGGCTCCAAAGCTTCAGGACTAGAAGAAATCACCCAGAACGACAGTGAACCACAGGAGAGGACTGCTCTCAGGAGAGCACCAACCGTCAGAGGTCAGGTAGAGAAATGAGCTGGCCCAGGAAGAAGGCTGGAGCAAAGGCAAGGCACTGGAGCCAAGAGGAGCATTCCAAGAAACAAGGCAGTTGGTTAGCTCAGTTGCTTAGAGCGCAGTGCTCAGAACACCAAGATTGCTGGCTCAATACCCACATAGGCAACTGAGCTGCGCCCTCCACAACTAGACTGAAACACCTACTTGACTTGGAGCTGATGGGTCCTGGACAAACACACTATTCCCCAATAAAATAAAATAAAAAAAAGTACGATCCACTGCAACAAATGCCGCCAGGAAGCTGAGTACTCTCACTGGCAGGTCAGAGTTCTGCCCTGGCAAAGCTGAGCTCCAGGCCCTGCTCTCGCTCTTTTCTGTGGCTGTGCCTGAGTAGCTGGCCAGCCAACCCTCCAGAAGATGTTACACTCTCATCTCATGATCCCTTATAGGACTGAGCTCAAACCAGCCCTTGTGGCTTTGATTATGAAGAGATTTCCATCTCTGACAACTAATGGTTTCACAGTCAAGCACAGAATCTGGGTGATGCCAACAATTCCTATTAATAACAGCAGCTGACATAGGCAAATAGGTTCATTACTATCTTGGGAGACAGCCATTTATAGACCTGATGCCATGCCTCCTGGCTACACCCGGAGAGGCAGGGAGGCAGAAAGTGAGATGGACCTAA